CGGGCCAAACTCATCTATCGCTCTACTGGAGAAAAAGGAGGCTCTCTGCTCTCACAGAGATTTACAGCCTTGGAAACCCCACACAGGGTCAACGTGAGTTGGAACCTGCACGACAGCATTTAACAAGGTGGGGCCCAAGGGCTCACAACTAGTCACATTAGTGCTTTAGGAATGATTCCCCGTACATCAATTCATTGGGCTCAATTTGAGCCTGCTTCTATGGGCAACCCTGATTCTGAGCAGGGCAAAGGGCAACAAAGTCCTAGACCCACGTTAGATTAGTCCGTTCGCAAGGCTTTCCCAGGGTCTTCTTTAGGGTGCGGTTCTTCTTCGTTAGGGTTATTGTTGGCATTTGCTGTGGAGTCAGTTCAGACTTATAACGACCCTTTCCTGGATTTCTAAGGAGCAGCATGTGGGTATGAACTGCTGACCTTGTGATTTAAGTCCAGTGCTAATCCTACAGTGCTACACCAGGAGTCTGGTTAAGGCTATTAGCTCTGCCTTTTGTGCAGGCAGGCTGACCAGCTGTCTTCTGGCTGTCCCATTCAACTGTTTTGAAAAGTAAGCCTTTTGAGAAGTCACACCTATCCCCAAGTCCCATGCTCTGTTGTTTATGTACAAATAGGTTAAAGGGCTTCTTAAATCAGGTAGTTGTAAAGCAGGGGCTACTCTCAGTTTGCTCTAGATCTCATTAAAAGGCTTTCGGCCTTCTGGAGTTCACATCCGGTGGGGGATGGGGAGTGGCGTGGCGGTGGACTGCTTCTCTCCCTCCTCAAAAGCTTTGTAAAGTGATTTTTGTAATTGATTCCTATTTAGGGCTGGTTTTTTGTTTTGTTTTGTTTTTTTGCATTTTGCAAACTCCAACCATTTCAAGAAAGTTTCTTAGTTGCCTTGAGAAGCCAGCTCCCATTCACTGGATTTTGATTATTTGTCAAGTCTTTCCTGGCTTGTTTTAACTTGACACCGTATTTCATGGTGAGCCAAGTTTGAGGTGGAGAAGGGGCTGTGGATAAGCAGGCATCCGTAGGATCCTACCTCAATGATTGTGGGGATCTCCTGAATGGGAATTGTCCTGCCTGGGTCAAAGCCTACCTTCTAGCTGAATTGACATTGAGATGGTAAAGATTATATGCAAATTCTATCTTAACAAAGCTATTTTAAACAAGTAATCCCAGAGGTTTTTAAAAACTTCTCCCACCAGGGATTCTGTCTCTGCAGGTCTGGAATGTGACCTACGGTTTTGCATTTCTAAAAGAGCCCATGTACCTGCTGAAGATGGCTGTGAACTGTGAACTTCTTTTTGGAAAGATAACAGGCTGGGGGTGGGGGGGACCATTTTAAGCGTGCTTTTACCTCCTTGAGCCTTTCTGTTCATCCTTATCACCTTTCAAAATAGAAAATAGAAGCAGACAAAAAACCAACTATGACTTTCAATTTTTCTGGATCCACCAACCTCCTTGCTTCATGCAATCTTAATTTCTAAAGGCGCCAACCATATAATTTTGAAAATAAGCATACTATATGTAATATACTTAATATAGTTTAATGTTTGTAAACAAATACAATGACATAAAAATCTCTATTATGAGCACTCATATTCAGAAAAATGACGCCTACATTTTACTGAAAGAATAAATTGAGTTCATGTCAAAATGTAGTTTCAAATTAAGTATACTTTATTCACTGAATGAAGTTGAATATCTTGAGATTTATATACATATAAATCTCTAAATTTAAGAACATTTTCCCTGAATATCCTCCCTACTCCCTCAAAGAAAGTGGAAGGGGAAAAAAAAGAGTACTTATTTTCTAGATTAACACCTTGACACACAATCATGCATAAGAAATAAATACCTATGTAAACATTTGTTGGGGGAATAAAAGCAAGACTCACACTCATCAACCCATATTCGACTCTGTAACACTCTACAATTTTTACATAATGCTGAAATAATGAACTCACTTGAATTATTAGACACAAAAGTAGAAGAGTAAAATTTTGGCTAGAAAAAGGAAAAAAAAACATAATAGAGATTTATGGTGGCAGGCTTTTTAGCTGTTAATAGTAGTAGAAAGGTTGCCATACTTAATAAAATGATTTGATAACATAATAACAACTATGTATTAAAAACAATTGCTAGAGAACTTTTTTGAAAACCATAGATTTCCATTTTGAATGAGCAGCTCACATTCCTCACCCTCAACTGGAGCCAATCTGTAGGGATCAAATGCCACAGAGGGCATCAGAGAGCACAAAATCACTTTGAAATGAAATGTTTACTTTTGGCACATAATAGTTTTCAATGTGAAATTTCTTTACTTTTTTCTTACTCTCATTAAGTGGTTTGGGAAAGAAACATTCCTCTTAGCCTCCACACTTGCACCATGCCTCACCAAACTTCCTCTCTCCCTCATAGACACTATGAGTACAGGTGTCATACTCAGCAAACGGTTTCTTCTTTCTTCACTCCTTCTCTCCTTTTCTTTTCCTTTTCACCATCTTCTGTCTGCTGGCTTGCTGAATAGTTAAAAGAAGAACTTGAAAGCTAGGAGGAGTCATGAGGTGCAGTAAAAATAAGGCAATATTCCATTTAATGAAGACCTTCCTTCCTTGATGGATAGCTTTAAAGTAGTTTTTGGAGGTGGTTTCTGCTTCTCGTGTACAAAGAAAAATCAATGAAGGAGAGGCTAAGACAAAGCATTTGAAAATAATTATCCTTTTGGTTTCTGGGCTCAACATTATTTCAAATATAATCTCAAATGCTTCTGGGAGTATTCTTGAAAAAAATATAACTATGAGTTTGATTGGATGGGGAAAAAAATTGCAACATATAGATAACTTCATGTGTTAAATTTACCTTTATTTATCTTACATTCTATCCTACAAATACTTTTAAGTCACAACAATACAGTCTTATATCCAATAAACCAATTTCTATGCTCTTCCTTATTTTTATCAGCACCCAGGAAGGAAGTAATACAATTTGAGTGCAATGTACAACATCATAGTAACAGAGATGAACTAGACATGCCAAAGATACAGCATCTTGCCACATGGTACCTAGACTGATTTTCTTAAATAAGACTAGTTTCTCCACCCACATGAGAAATCATCTTTCACTAATGAGATAACTTCAAATTATTCAAAAATATTCATAAAATTTGCCCAGTGGATGACAAAATTAATACTGCCAATACTGGAGTAACAGTCTCATGGTTTCATTAAAATTCATAATCCCCAGTTCTATATGCCTAATATTGATCATTAGTTAATACCATCAGCCATATACTTAATACTGGCAATTCCATCAAAACGTATTAGTATCAGATAATCAAACTCTAGTTGTCCTTTTTTTTTAAACAAATTTTTGATAGTTTTATTTTTTGTATGTGATTAAAAAACAATTATTTTGTAACTGAAGAATAATTTGAAACTAGAGATTCAAATGCTATATAATTGGACTGTATCTTACTCTATAGTATATATTATATATACCACTATATAGGTGTGTATATATGTATATATACAAGGGGGTTTCAAAAAGTTTATAGAAAAATGGAAGTGAAAGATCATGGAATTTTCCCACAAACTTTCTGAAGCTCCCTTGTGTATGTATGTGTGCATATAATAATAATAATACACACACATACATACATATACACACATACATATGTATGTATATATATACATACATGCATTGCATGTGTATAGAGTTTTTGTATTTTTAAAACTGAAAGAACAAGAATTGGGTACATGAATCATAGGCCCAAGTTTGAGAGGAATAATTCAACAAAACATTTGTTTACTTAGCTATGACCTTCATTACAACAATGTTAGCTGATTCTCTGGTTGGTGTTCAGCTGACCGTTTCTCTTAAAGCATGTTTATATATAAGATGTTACATCACTCAAATCAACATCCAACAATAACACATCTTGGGTCAAAGGCATAGGAACAAGGCATAGGAACAAGGCACTGTATGAATTGATGTATCAGTAGAAAAGGTTGTGAACTTATTAAAAATTTGGAGATTGCTTTAAAGCAAAGAGATCAGATTTCATAAACAACTTATACAAATAGCTAATGCTCAAAAGGCTTCATGATGCAAAATTGGCATTTCAAAAGAAAAATGATTTAAAAAAATATTCAACGATTTTCTAGATTAAGGTCCATAAATTAATCATGTACATTGTCTTGCATTCTTTAAATACTAAGAAAACACATTTACTTCTCTATAATATCTTTTGTTTCCTTGAAGACCTGAAGCAATTCCATATCTACGTAATGCTATTTCCCAGATAAGACTATTCACCATCTTGAAACCGCTGCTACCAAAATAATATCTTTAAAGAGCAGAATAGTTAGTCCTTTGTTAAAACTCAAAAGTTCAGTCATTAGAAAAATCAATTCTGCATTTACCTGGAAGGACTATCTCAGATCCTGATGAAAGTTTTACTTACTCAGGATGATTTCAGGAACAAACGCCTTGCATGATATTGTACCCAATACTCTTAAATATGTGAGTTTCCTTTTGTTAGCTGAGTTTGGTTTTCCATTTGCATATTTTTAAATGGCAGGCTATGTATGCCTTGGCTGGCCTCTCTGCTACCTTTTGTTTTGTTGCAAGATTCTTCTTGTTATAAAACAATCCCATCAAAGACCATGAAAATATGCAAATGCACTGGAGAGTGATGGGATAGCCCAAGTCCAGTGTTTCATTCTAAACTGCAACATCCCATGATTTTCCAACATTCTACTCCCATATGCACTTTTAGCAATCATTTTCAGAATCAAGTAAATACTATCTGGAGGATCTAGCCAATGAAGCAAACAAGTGGCACTCTTCCAACAGTACAAAGTTGGCTTCTATAAAAGTGTACAAAAACTTTGAGTTAAAAAAAAAGAAGAGTTAAAATTGACCATGGCTTCTGGCCCCTGGCCCTAAACCCAGGGGAAAAAGTGAAGAGACAAGCAAGCAGCTGCTTGCTTGTTATGCTGATTACATTGTTGATTTAGCCAGCTGTGCCTTGTTTTCCTGGATCATTACTTCCTTGGCGAAAAGATCAGAATTAAGTCTCAGATTCTCTTTTAATTTGTTGAGCTCAAAGTCATGGAGAATCTTGACTGTCATTAACTTTTCTCGCTTGATTCTATCCACAACTTCTTTTGGAACATCAGGGATCATCCAGGCCAACAAAAATTTAACTAAAAACACAATGTGCTAAAGGAAACATAAAGGAAAATCAAAGGACATTATTAGAATTATTTTATCATTACACTGAGAGCTGGAAGAAAGGTAAACGCTTATGTAAATAAATACATATGCGTGTATGATCTGCCATGGAAGAAAGTCTGTAATTAATACATAAAACCCAAAACTAAAGAAATAGCAGCATAAACACATTGCTTTGTAATATGAGGCTAATGACTAGAACAATGGAGTCCTGGTGTGGCGCTGTGGGTTAATGCCTTGGACCACAAGGTCAGCGGTTCAAGCTCACCATCCACTTCTTGGAAACCCTATACAGAGTCACTATGGGTCTGAATTGCCTAGTGACACTGAACAACAACAACTAGAACAACAGGTTTTTAAATGAAAATGACTGCCTGAGGAGTTCAGGATTTGAGGATGGGAAAGAATAGTATGTGTGGTCTTTCTTTGTTGTTGTTGTTAAGTGCCATTGAGTCAGTTCCGACCCATAGCGACCCTGTACAGGGGTTTCTAAGGGTGTAAATGTTTATGGGAGTAGAAAGCCTCATCTTTCTCCCGTGGAGCAGCTGGTAGTTTCAAACCACTGACCTTAAGGTTCGCAGCCCAATTCGTAACCACTACGCTACCAGAGTCTTTCTTTACCATGTATAATTACTGAACTTTTAAAATGATTTACACATACATATTTGATACAAATAAATTAAACAGAAGTTGATAGGCAATTTATGTGCTTGGGATAGACTTGTCTATATTGGGTTTTTCTGTAGGGTGATAAAGTACCTTAAGTTTATTTTTCTCTCCCCTATTAACATTCATCTCTTTATTTGTAGCATTCCATCTTAACTTAGTCAAATAACCTTCTGTATTATTTATATTATTTTTACATGTTTTAGTTCCATACTTATACTACAGATTTTAAAAAGTAATAAGTCAAATATTGTGGATGGATCATAGGCTTAACAATGAGACACACTTGGCATTGAAACCAAGCTCTAATATTAGCTGAGTAATCATAAGCTCTAGTATTAGCTGAGTAATCATAAGCTCTAGTATTAGCTGAGTAATCATAAGCTCTAGTATTAGCTGAGTAATCATAAGCTCTAGTATTAGCTGAGTAATCATAAGCTCTAGTATTAGCTGAGTAATCATAAGCTCTAATATTAGCTGAGTAATCATAAGCAAACTACTCACTTTGACTGATTCTCAGATTCATTTGTCGAAGGAGAATGATAAAGTATAGCTTATGAGACTGTTAGGAGAACGAGGTGAGATAATTTTTATAAAGCTTTAAAATAGCCTCTGGAAACTAGTAGATAGTAGATAATTCAATAAAAAAAATCAGTGGGTTCTCTTTCCTGTTCCTGACACTTCAAGAGACAAGATCATAATTTCCCTTCTCTTTCCTTTCACCATGTTATCTCAAATCTTGTTTAAGTGCATAAGGGACATTTAACACCCATTGTATAGAAAATATTCCTAGATTGCTTGTTATGACAAGTACTTCCCTCAGAATGATTTACTGAGAGAATGCTAAATTTCTGCCTAACTAGAGAAGAGAGACTAAATGGAATGAGGGTTAAGAAAGGCTTACCTCCATAACTATGATGAAGGTCATTTTAGCAGCAAGTACATGCCAGAATTGCATATTAGGAGAATATTTCAACATATGCTCAGGAGGATATCTGTAATCTCTGTACCTAGAAAATGGAAGTAAATGGAACAATTAGCCATCTTCAGCTGGAAGAGCGCTAACATAAATTCATATTATTGTTATTGAAAGATCCTTTGAGTTGATGACAAAAGCCATACCATTGCTAAATAACTTCTATTATGAAACTCATTTCTATTTCTTGTACACAAAAATTACTGCCATATAGCACCTATGTTCAGTATAGCTCTAGCAGGAGACTTACACGAGAAATTTTTTGTTTCCCCCTCAAATTCAAACTTTTCAAGTTACCCAAATTTGCTGTCTCCCATTCTTCTCTTACTACACTTAACATACTTGAATCTTCTGTCCTCCACAGAAACCATTCATCTGTTGTCATTAAATTCAAGAAACATGTTAATGTTAATCTTGTTAGAATTTTGAAGAATAGCATTTCAAATTACTGGAGCCCTAGTAAGCTAATGGATGAAGCACTGAACTGCTGATCTAAAGCTCTGCCTTTTGAAGTCATCTGGGGTTCCATGGGAGAAAGATGAGGCAGTCTGCTTCAGTACGCTTTACAACCTCAGAAGCCACATGGAGCCATTCTACTGTGTCCTACAGGGTCATTATGAGTAAGACTCGACTCAATGGTACTTGGTTGGGTTCTACATTCTTGAAATTCTTCCACTGGTTTACCCAACATTGTACTATTTTGTTTTTCTTGCACCTTTCTGGAATTGTCTTAGTGCTCAATTCTGTGAGCTCTTTCACATCTTCAGGGTCACTAAATATTGATGTTCTTCAAAGACTTCGACAAGAGACCTCTTCTAGTCTGACTTTAGAATTCATTTCCTAAACGTTTTAATTCACTTCAATTGCTATTTTAATACAAGTTCTTAATACCTATTAGCCTAGGCCTAGAATTCTCTTCTACACACAAAGACTGTACATCCCCTGTATATCTTAAAGACTGCTAACAATGAACCTTTATCATGTATTACCACCTAATATATGCTACTTATATATTTGTATATCCCCATATCATTCTACTTATCTAAGTGAATGTTATAAGTTATGAAGATGACTCATTCTTGACACCTCATCTCTCAAACCCCTGCAAATGGCATAGAACAGGAGTTTATCTGGCAACTAAAATAAATATCTTTATTTTGCTGAGCTTTTTGAGAGCAAGAGAAATAAAATATTTATTTTTAAAAGAAAAACAACTTTAGTTCCTAGTGCCTTAAGTAGAATAGCTGTTGTTGTATGAGGTTGAGTAGATTTCCGAAGCTGTAAATTTTTATGGGAGCAAAACACCTCCTCTTTCTCCTGCGGAACAGAGTTGTTATTGTTGCTAAGTTCCATTGAGTTCATTTCGACTCACAGCAACCCTGTATAGCATTTCAGAGGCCTCTGAAGCTTTGTGGGAGCAGAAAGCATTGCTCCTGCAGAGCAACTGGCAGGCTCAAACCACAGACCTTGTGGTTCGCAGTCCAGTGCTTATGGCATGGAGCCACTGCACTCCAGCAGGACAGAGGAGATGCTAATGATTTGTCAAGGTTTCCTAAGTAGGTGATTGAGAGACAATCAGTAATTCTTCTTCAAGTTCATCATATAAATTTGGCTTCTTCTTTCATTGTTTTATAATATCCTTTAGTAATTAGAATATGGAATGTATGAAATATGAATCTAGAAAAACTGAAGTCATCAAAAATGAAATAGAA